AATAATTAAATTTGATACCATACTATTCAGAGGGAAATTAAAATTTCAAGTTAGCAAAAAATTGTATTAACAAACACTATTCCCCAAGCAATTTTAAACAAATATTGTTAACAAAATTTTTTGATTTAATCAATAATTAAGAACATAACCTCAAAAAAAATGTTGTATATCTATATACAGCAAAATCTAATCAAGATATCGAATTTTTTTATTAACAAAATCGTTTTAGAATTTAATTTTAAGCAACTTTTGTTTGAAACATTTTTTGATGCAACTAAATTCATTAAATAAGGCCCGACTTATACGATTAAAATTATAAGTATACACAGCCTGAACCAAAAGAGATATCAAATTTTTTTATTAAAATAATTGACTTAAATAGGCATTTTAAGCAACAATTATTTGAAAAATTTTTTGATTCGGTTATTTTTATACATTACCACATTTGAGTATGCTTCGATTTTTTGTTCAAATCATGTCTTTTATATGTTAAACGCCTAAAAAGGGTCTAGATATTGTTGTCAAAAATTAATTCCCTGTATAGAATGTTAATTATATTGTGGTTCTTGTTGACTTGATATCCATCTTACTTGATTTTATGTTCCATGTTGAATTTCTTTTAGGTTATCCGTATTATGGCCATTATGGCGCAACAGCCGATTGGCGCCAAGCTTACCACTACGGAGCTCACATGTATCTCCCTCAACAGTACTCGCAGTTCACAACAACAATGCAGCACCCCCCGTATATGCCTTATCAATACCCAGGCCGGAAATTAGATTCATCCAAAACGGACGATCCCCACACCCCCACAATAAACGCCGTGGTCCAACAAATAACCCAAGAATTGAAACAAATTTTAAAGCGGGATTTTAATAAAAAAATGGTCGAATTCACCGCGTTCAAAAAGTTCGAAACGTGGTGGGAGGACGAAACCTCAAAAGAAAAGGGAAAAGAAATCAAAAAAGACGAAAATTCCACCGATAAATCGAACAAAGATAATATTAATATATTATTAGAAGCGAATCGTGAAAATATTTATAGTAATATTAATTTGGAAAGTATCGGAAGCTTCGGGTTGGGTTTAAAAGCTTCCCTGCCGAAAATGCCGAGTTTTCGGCGGAAAAAAGTTCCATCTCCTGTTATCGAGGAGGAAAACGAAGAAATAGTCCTTTCGGATTCAGAGCACGAAAAAAAGCAACCCGAAGCGGAATTAAAAAGGGTCCGAAAAACCTCAACGAGCTCCTCAAGCTCATCAAGCTCGTCGTTTAGTTCCGACGAAGAGAGTTCATCGAGCGACGAAACCTCAGACTCGGAATCATCCGAGCACGAAGTCAAAATATGGAACGAGAATATCGGGACTCCCCCTGAAAGAACAACCCCCGTTCCAAACGAATTAGAATTAGCGGAGAGTATCGAAACCAACTTAGAGATCGTTAAGGAAATCATTCAAAAAGAGGAATTTAAAAAGATTACTTATGAAAGTGAAAGCAGCGATTTAAGTGAGGGTGAGAGGGAATACTTGGAGAAGAGACGAAGGAATACCGAGTGGATGGAACAAATTGAGAGGGAGAAAGAGGAGCGTTTGGAGAAAGAAAAAAGTTTTGATGAAGAAAACATCAATTTAACGGAAGAAATTAAAGTTGAAAAAATGGAAATTGACGAGGAAGTTAAAAAAGTTGAAATTGAAACCATCAACGGTGATAATAAAAGGGTTAAAACGTTATCAGAGAGTTCTTCGGGGAGTCCCACAACGATTCAAGTTACAATGGAACATTCTTATTGTATTCCGGTTAAAAATGATGGCCAAAATGAGGAAATTTCCGATATTTTAGAACACGATCATGGTTACTTAAAAGATGAGGAAAATATAAACAAAGAGGTGACAAAAGAAAACGTTAAAGAAGCGATTAAGTTGCCGAAAAAAATAGAAAACAATGAGAAAAAATCGAAAGAGAAGAAATCGAGAAAAATAAAACAAAAATTACCCCCAGAAAAAGAAAACAAATACGACAACATAAACAATTACATTGAAACCACTAAAAATCATCACTACCAAATAACACCTCCAAATAACACCCAAAAATTAATCCTTCACGATACTAAATTCGAAGAGCGCGATATCACCACGGAAATGAATATACTTTATGAATTTTTAACGAAAGGTATCGACTCAGAGGATATTGAGTATATGAGGACTGCGTATGAGGCTATGTTGGCGAACGATTCTTTGGGTTATTGGTTAAACGACACGCATTGGGTCGATCATTGCGTAACGGATTTGTATTCGTGCCCCGCGCCGATTATTAAAAAGAAAAAGAAAGATCAAGAGGTGCCACGAAGAGTGCACGCGTCGGGTTGTGCGAGAACTGAGGGTTATTATAAAGTTGCCGCGCAAGAAAAAGCCAAGTATAAATATCATCACGCGAAATCGCACTCGAATACATCCCCGAATGTTCCTGTTACGAAAATGCAAGGTAATTTTATTTTATTATTTGATTAAAATTCAAATTTTATCGAAAAGAACATTAAAAGTCCTTTAAAATGATACCAAACACGATATATTTATGTTAAAAAACAAAAAAGTTATCACAGTTTTGTTTTTGACAGAAACAAAAAAACAATTGAAGATCGTTTTCTTTAAACCCTCGTAACTCTTTTATTTATTAAGATAATGAGATGGTGTTTGGACTTAAATGAAGCGAAATTTTATATAGATTTCGTGTTTTTAGTAATAAATTTATTTTTTTTTTAATATCGACGAACTGTCAAAAATGAAACGTCAACAAATTTGATTTAATTTTAAATAGATTTATTGAAGTAGATTTCTAATCAAGATCAATTTTTAAAATAAAAAGGGATTCTAATTTCGAATAAAAATCAAATTGCGATTTTAAAGTTGAAAATGAAACTTTAATTTTATGACCATTCGAAAGAAAATGGAAAATCCTTTAAAATGATACCAAACTCGATGAGGTTATTTTCAAAAACAAAGAAGTTATGGTACTTTTTCTTTTGACAGAAACAAAAAACAATTGACGATCGTTTTCTTTAAACCCCCATAACTCCCTTATTTATTAAGATAATGAGATGGTGTTTGGACTTAAATTAATCAAAATTTTGTGTAGATTTCATTTTTTTGAATAATAAATTTATTTTTTTTAATATAAACAAAGAACTGTCAAAAATGAAATGTCACCAAATTTGATTTAATTTTAAGCAGATTTCTAATCAAGATCAATTTTTAAAATAAAAAGGGATTTTAATTTCGAATAAAAATCAAATTCCGATTTTAAAGTTGAAAATGTAACTTTAATTTTATGACCATTCGAAAGAAAATGGAAAATCCTTTAAAATGATACCAAACTCGATGAGGTTATGTTCAAAAACAAAGAAGTTATGACACTTTTTCTTTTGACAGAAACAAAAAACAATTGACGATCGTTATCTTTAAACCCCCATAACTCCCTTATTTGTTAAGATAATGAGGTGGTGTTTGGACTTAAATTAATCAAAATTTTGTGTAGATTTCATTTTTTTGAATAATAAATTTATTTTTTTTTAATAGAAACAAAGAACTGTCAAAAATGAAATGTGGTTAAGATTCAATTTGAAGTTGCGACGTAATATCGAATAAATCACGGTAAATTTTTATCGTTTTGTAATCAATTAATCAACGTCGATTTTTAAAATGAAATAAGATTCTAATTTCGAAAAATTTTGAAACTTTAATTTTAATTTTATGACCATTGAAGGGAAAATGAAAAATCCTTTAAAATGATACTAAACTCGACGAGGTTATCTTTAAAAACAAAAAAGTTATTACAGTTTTATTAATGACAAACAAGAAAAACAAATGACGATCGTTTCCTTTAAACCGCCATATCTCCCTTATTTACCAAGATAATGAAATGGTGTTTGGGCTTAAATTAATCAAAATTTAGTGTAGTTTTGATATTGTTAATAATAAATTTATTTTTTTTAATATTATCAAGAACTGTCAAAAATGAAATGTCAAAAAAAAACGATTTAATTTCAAATCGAATAAATCACGGCGTATCTTTACTGGATTATAATGACGTTCGCTTTTTAAAATTAAATGGGTTTCTTAATAAGAATAAAAACCAAAATGAGACTTTAAAGATTGTACTTTAATTTTAATTTTATGACCATTCGAAAGAAAATGGAAAATCCTTTAAAATGATACCAAACTCGATGAGGTTATTTTCAAAAACAAAGAAGTTATGATACTTTTTCTTTTGACAGAAACAAAAAAACAATTGACGATCGTTATCTTTAAACCCCCATAACTCCCTTATTTATGAAGATAATGAGATGGTGTTTGGACTTAAATTAAGCAAAATTTTATGTAGATTTCGTTTTTTAAATAATAAATTTATTTTTGTTAACATTATCTGAAGACGCACGGCTAAATTCTATGTTTTCTAGTTACTTTTCTAGCGCTACCTACTTGATTTACTTTACGATTTTGAATGAATTAATTACGAATAATGTTAAATTCATAATCTACATTAAAAACCCTTTAATTTGATACCGAACAAGACATATTTACATAAAAAATAAAAAAAAGTTAGGTTAAAACCGCCATCTTGAATTCTTTTATTATTAAAATTTGTTATCTCGGTTAGTTTTTTAGATAACCCTATCGAGTTTGGACTCATTTTAAAGCTTTTTTCATTTTCTTTGTGATTTTATATGAATTAATTCTTTTTAAAAATATTTATAAAATCGAAAATTTCATTTGAATTGATGATAACATCAAATTCGTAATCTACATTAAAAACCCTTTAATTTGATACCAAACACGACATATTTACATGAATAATTAAAAGAGTTAGGTTAAAATCAACAATGAGTTCCGCCATCTTGAATTTTTTTATTATTAAAATTTGTTTTCTTGGGTCATTTTTGAGATAACCCCATCGAGTTTGGACTCATTTCAAAGCATTTTTGATTTACTTTATGATTTTGAATGAATCAATACTTTTTGAAAATATTTATTTATAAAATAGAAAACTCCTTTTTTTTATAATAACATCAAATTCGTAATCTACATTAAAATCCCTTTAATTTGATACCAAACACGCCCTATTTAGAACAAAAAATAAAAAAAGTTAGGTTAAAATCAGCAATGACTTCCGCCATTTTGAATTTTTTTATTAAAATTTGTTATCTCGGCTAATTTTTGAGATAACCCCATCGAGTTTGGGCTCATTTTAAAGCATTTTTAATTTTATTTTTGATTTTGAATGAATTAATACTTTTTGAAAATATTTATAATAAAGAAAAATTAATTTTTGTTGATAATAATGTTAAATTCGTAATCTACATTAAAAACCCTTTAATTTGATACCAAACACGCCCTACTTTGATAAAACATTAGAAAAAGTTAGGTTAAAATCAACAATGATAACCGCCATCTTGAATTTTTTTATTATTCAAATCTGTTATCTCGGTTAATTTTTGAGATAACCCCATCGAGTTTGGGCTCATTTTAAAGCATTTTTAATTTTATTTTTGATTTTGAATGAATTAATACTTTTTGAAAATATTTATAATAAAGAAAAATTAATTTTTGTTGATAATAATGTTAAATTCGTAATCTACATTAAAAACCCTTTAATTTGATACCAAACACGCCCTACTTTGATAAAACATTAGAAAAAGTTAGGTTAAAATCAACAATGACATCCGCCATCTTGAATTTTTTTTAACAAATAATATTAGTTTTATCTCGGTTAATTTTTTAGATAACCCCATCGAGTTTAGGCTCATTTTAAAGCATTTTTAATTTTCTTTCCGATTTTAAGTGAATTAAGTTTTTCAAAAATAGTTATAAAATCGAAAATTCCATTTTTATTGATAACATCAAATTCGTAATCTATATTAAAATCCCTTTAATTTGATACCAAACACGCCATATTTACAACAAAAAATAATTAAAAGTTAGGTTAAAACCAACAAAGACGTCCGCCATCTTGAATTTTTTTAAGATAAAAATTAGTTGTATCTCGGTTAATTTTTGAGATAACCCCATCGAGTTTGGACTCATTTTAAAGCATTTTTAATTTTATTCTTGATTTTGAACGAATTAATTCTTTTTAAAAATATTTATAAAACCGAAAATTAAATTTTTATTGATGATAATATTTGATTCGTAATCTATATTAAAATCCCTTTAATTTGATACCAAACACGCCATATTTACAACAAAAAATAATTAAAAGTTAGGTTAAGACCAACAAAAACGTCCGCCATCTTGAAATTTTTTTAAGAAAAAATTAGATGTATCTCGGTTAATTTTTGAGATAACCGCATCGAGTTTGGACTCATTTTAAATCATTTTTAATTTTCTTTCCGATTTTAAGTGAATGAAGTTTTTCAAAAATAGTTATAAAATCGAAAATTCAAAATATAAATAATTTTATAAAATCAAAATAATTAAAAATGAATGTTTTAGGGTTATCAAGAGAAGCTAGATCGAATCAACGACGATTATTAACAGCTTTCGGTACAGATACAGATTCCGATTTGCTCAAATTTAATCAATTGAAGTTTCGTAAAAAACACCTCAAATTCGCTAAATCGGCCATCCACGATTGGGGTTTATTCGCAATGGAGCCGATCGCCGCCGATGAAATGGTCATCGAATATGTAGGTCAAATGGTTCGGCCCTCTGTGGCTGATTTAAGAGAATCGAAATACGAAGCAACCGGAATTGGGAGTTCGTATTTGTTCCGAATCGATTTAGAAACGATTATCGATGCAACTAAATGCGGGAATTTAGCGCGGTTTATTAACCACAGTTGTAACGTAAGTTTTAATTAAATCGGTTAATTGATTGTGATTGATTAATTTTAATTTTTAGCCCAATTGCTACGCTAAAGTGATAACTATCGAGTCGCAAAAGAAAATTGTGATCTATTCGAAACAAAGTATTGGTGTAAACGAGGAGATAACTTATGATTACAAGTTTCCAATTGAGGATGAGAAGATACCGTGTTTGTGTGGGGCCGCTACGTGTCGAGGGACGTTGAATTAAAAATTTTCTATATACATTTTTTCGATTTAACAAATCTAAACAATAATTTATTAGGGCGGTTTCTCTTTTTAATTTAAATTATACTATTATAAAAAGTTTTTTAATTATTAACTAATTTTCACCTTGTACATACGTGGCGTGTAAATATCGTAAATAATAATTGATACTGTTGAGTGTGTTCCTTGTTCTAATGGATTATAATTCAATATTAAGATAAAAGAATTTTTCGTCGTCTTATAATAAATTGTAAATATTAAAGTATAAATAATTTAGATAATAAAGCTTTAGTATTTTATATTTTTATTACTTATTTTTCTCTAATTTCATTACCAAATTGGATTTTGTTAAAAATCTCCGAAAACTCTCCTTGAGTTCACCTTGAATGACCTCTAAATGACCTTGATGAAGATAAAAGTGAAAATTTAGAACGAAACTTTGAGGATGTCTCCTTGAGTTCACCTTGAATGACCTCTAAATGACCTTGACGGGGGTAAAAGTGAAAATTGGAAACGAAATTTTGAGGATGTCTCCTTGAGTTCACCTTGAATGACCTCTAAATAACCTTGACGGAGGTAAAAGTGAAAATTTAGAACGAAATTTTGAGAATGTCTCCTTGAGTTCACCTTGAATGACCTCTAAATGACATTGACGGAGGTAAAAGTGAAAATTGAAAACGAAATTTTGAGGATGTCTCCTTGAGTTCACCTTGAATGACCTCTAAATGACATTGAAGGTAAAATTCAAAATGAAATTTTGAGGATGTCTCCTTGAGTTCACCTTGAATGACCTCTAAATGACATTGATGAAGGTAAAAGTGAATACCAGGAGTAATTTGGCGGGAAATATGAATACGAAACATGTGTTTATTATATTTTTTTCGGCAAGATATTTTTAATTAATGATAATTTGGGTTAATTTAAATGTAAAATTAATTGTTTATTATGCGGAAGAAATAAAAATCGTTTTTTTTGCAACAATTTTATTTATTAATATAAATTAGCACTTGTACAGATTTCTATTTTACCAACATATATTACAGTTTTCTGTAATCGATATTGTCAAAATAAATACAAAATTATTGTTTATAGATATTACTAATATTAAACAAAATTTAACAATAATTTAAATATATAATAAGAAACGTGAATTTAACATATCGAATTTAAACCCTGAATTATTATAAATACACTCCCTTCCTTAAATAAGTCAAATCAACTTTACTTAATCTTGTTAATTATTTAAAAACATTTCTTTGTGTAAAAATGAGATTAATAATTGTTTTAATCACTCACATTAGTGTTAAAATCCTTTATCAATCTGTAATGTCACTTCCTCCAGCAATCATTTAGTAAGATAACCTAAAATAAATGAAAAAAATATTTATTGTTTTGTTGTAAACAACAAAATCATCACATACTTCAATTAATTCATCAATTCCGGTTAAAGAAATCATAAATGATGATATTTTAATAAGTTATCCAAGTAATTGTGGTGGAAACTTTCAAATCGCGCTTGAAGATCCAACATTAAAGTGATGTTTTGAACATTTTGGTTCTTGCGCCCCGTTTTTAAAAAGATTTCAAACGTTGTGAATTATTTAAATCATCCAAATACCGCCTTAACACCACCGCAAATTCTTCAAAAGCTTAAACACAAATTATCTAAAATTAAACTTATAAAGATATCAGTGTTGTATTAATTACCTTTGTTTCTTCGAAATTGGAATGAAATCGCCCATTTTTAATTAAATGAATCTTATTTTAATTGTTATTAAGGTTTTATCAACAAAATATAACCTCAAATTTAGATTAAAAAGTGAAATGTCAATTTTTGAGTCGGTAATATAGATGACTTAATCGAGTCGATAAAGTAGACTTCATGCAAAATTAAATTAATTATTAATTGATTGTGTTACTTTTTAAACAGCTTTGTTATTCAAAATTCAATCCTTTCGAACCTAATTCCCCGACTATATCCTCAGCTTCTTCAAATCAAATGAAATAAAGCGAAAATTTCATCCCTAAAAAATCCATTTTTTGCAGTCACGCATTTTCGTGTAAAACGGAAGAATCACTTTTCGATCTTTACGAAACATGGTTTGTTGGATAATAAATTCCTTAAATATTAAGAAAAATTTAATTTTAATAAATTGAGGTTAAGTTGCTTTAATTACCTTCGTTGTTGGATTCTTTGTATAATTTTAAAGCTTCTTCGTCCCAAATTGGTGTGGAGTCGCCCATTTTTAATTAAATGAATGCAATGTAGTGCTTATTTTAATTGTTATTAACGCTTTATCAACAAAATTTAACCTTAAATTTACATTAATAGGTGAAATGTCAATTTCTTGAGTCGGTAATGTAGATGACATAATCGCGTCGATAAAGTAGACTTGGTCGTTATTATTAATTTATAAATAAATGTTTTAAATAAATAATCATTACATTAAAAAGTGAAAATCTGATTTATCTATTAACTTTATATATTTTTTAAGAATCTATTAAGAAAGGTGAAAATGTCAATTTGAGTCGATAAAGTAGACTTGGTTTATATCGCAAAATTAATTTGTTATTAACTTGTAAATTAATTGAAATGTTTTAAATAAATAATCCTTAGATTAAAGGGATTAAAACCAGGTTTATCTATTAACTTTGTTTATGGATATACATAGTTATTCAGCCGATGTTAGTTTGTGTTCTTGATGCAAAGATGGCGGGGTAATTTATGTGTAAATTAATACATTTTAACTCTTTTTTAAAACTTATTTGTTATTTTCTTACGAATATGTTTCATTTTAGTTTAATTAATTACAAAAAGATTTTATTTCGTAGATTATGTCGGTAATTAAAAAAAGGGATTTACTTTTTTAATTGATTCAGTCATTCATAGATGGCCTCATTTGAAATGACAAGAGGACTTATTTTGTAAATAAAACTTATTTATTATTTTTTTTTTATGAATATCTTTCATTTTAGTTTAATTCACCATTAATTACAAAATATTACTTTTAAATTCTTTAAAAATCCTACGAATTAAATGTTATTGTGTTATTTGTCAAAAAATTTTTATTACCAACCTAAATTTAGTTGCGTATAAATGATCTAATTTTAAATTAAATAAAATTAATGTAAAAAATGATTAATTATTAAGAAATATGTGTTATATAAAAGTCTTTAATTATAAATTTTTAATTAATTTTTTAAATTTTAATGATTAAATAACACCAAATTTAAGGTGGTAACAATTTTAGTTTTTACCTTGTCAAATTTGTTTATGTTTATAAACATAATCAGAATAATCTATAAAAAAATAATAATGAATTTTCCAAAAATATCGTTACCAAACGAACACATGTTGTGTACTTGCCGAGATTTCATCGCGCAGCCAAGAATGATTTATAAAACCGTCTGTGGAGTAAATGGCCCCCTTTTGGTACTAGACGACGTCAAATTTCCCCGTTTCGCCGAAATAGTTCGCATAAAACTAGCGGATGGAACAAACCGTTGCGGGCAAGTTTTGGAAATAAGCGGATCGAAAGCGGTTGTACAAGTTTTTGAAGGAACTTCCGGCATTGACGCGAAAAACACCGTGTGCGAGTTTACCGGGGATATTTTAAGGATGCCCGTATCCGAAGATATGTTAGGAAGAGTTTTTAACGGATCAGGAAAACCCATCGATAAAGGTAACATTTAATTTAATTTTAATTGACGTTTAAATCTGTCAAAAAATCTTATTACCAACTTAAATCAAGCAATCACAAAATTTACTTGTCAAAAAATTAAAATGAAACGAATGCCTAGTACAAATTCCATTAAGAAAATAGCCTCATCTTTAAGGCCTAAATCAAGTAAGACCAAAAGTATCGAATCAACTAAAAGTAAAAGTGCCGAATTAACGAAAGAATCCAAAGAACACGTATTAGTGGTGAAGAGAGACTTTATAAGTGCGCCAAGAATATCGTATCGAACCGTATCGGGAGTAAACGGGCCTTTGGTGATAATGGAAAACATTAAATTTCCGAAATTCGCGGAAATCGTCGAGTTAAAATTGCGTGATGGTACAACGAGGTGCGGCCAAGTTCTGGAAGTTTGCGGATCGAGAGCGATCATTCAAGTTTTTGAAGGAACAACGGGTGTTGACTCGAAAAACACAATTTGCGAATTTACCGGGGATATTTTACGCATGCCCGTATGCGAAGATATGTTAGGAAGGAGTTTTAATGGATCTGGAAAACCCATCGATAGCGGTAAAAAATGTTTTGACAGATAAACGTTAAAAGTGACACATAAATCATACGTCTAAGAACCGTCTTAGATACACCAAGAAATTCTACAATAGATAAAATAGATGAACCTACAATTTTGGGCCTTAGCACTAAAACTAGAACTAACACTAGAATCATTCGGGTTTAGTCATCTTGAGAGACGTGGGACTAAATGCGAATGTTTCTGGTTTTCGGTCTTAAAAAGAATAAAAAGGTTAAAATAACCTTTAAAGTGAGTCCAAACTTGACGCGTTTATCTCAAAAAACCAAAAAGTTTGAACTTTCAACTTTTAATTTTGACATATTTGTTAACTTCATAATAAATCCTTTAAAATGAGTCCAAACTCGACATATTTAGCTTTAATATTAATGGAAATACAATCACTTCCGGTTTGAAACGTCAACGTCAATTTTGACATATTTGTAATCTTCGTGAAAAATCCTTTAAAATGAGACCAAACATGACGCATTTATCTCAAAAAACAAAAAAGTTAGAATAAAAAACGTTAAGCGCGAAGTTGGCAACAATGAAGATAGCAATTTAATTTTTAAATGTTAATACCAACCTTAATTTTTGATCTTTTTTTATTATATTTGTTTTTGTGACAAATTTTAATATATTTTACAAAAATTAAGAATATATCAAAATGACATTGACATTTCAAACCGGAAGTTGCTTATATCTCGAGTAATATTGGAATTAAACGTATCATGTTTAGACTCATTTTAAAGGATTTTTCACGACGATTACAAATATGTCAAAATTGACGTTGACATTTTTAACCGGAAGTTGACCATAACTTCATTAATATTGAAGATAAATATGTCGTGTTTGTACTCATTTTAAAGGATTTTTAATGAAGATTACAAATATGTCAAAATTGAGGTTGACATTTTAAA